GGGCAAATGGACGACAATTCTGCTGACGTCATCCTTGCGCGCGTGTGCGCAGGGATCGCGGAGCGCTGCACGGCGGTCAAGTATCATTTTTCTCAACCGATCCGACTGAGGAACATCCCTCTCAACCTGACCAGAAGCATCCAGCAGGACGAGTGGCATCTGCTGCGTGAGTCTCACGCACGCGCACGCGCACGCGCACGAGACGGGGCAAATGGACGACAATTCTGCTGACGTCATCCTTGCGCGCGTGTGCGCAGGGATCGCGGAGCGCTGCACGGCGGTCAAGTATCATTTTTCTCAACCGATCCGACTGAGGAACATCCCTCTCAACCTGACCAGAAGCATCCAGCAGGACGAGTGGCATCTGCTGCGTGAGTCTCACGCACGCGCACGCGCACGCGCACGAGACGGCCCTCCGAAGGGCAAGTCAAGTCCAAAATGTTCTTTCCAATCGTGCGGCGGCGGCCATTTTGCCTTTCATCCGGCGACTGAAAATGACATCCAAAGTCCGTCCGATGGTTTGAGGCTTGCTAGCGGGGGGCGGGGCCTCGACTCACCGTTACCCGGGCAACTTGGATGTCATTTTCAGTCAACTGGCAAAATGGCCGCCCCTCCCTGCGACGACGCGTTTTGGACTGCGCTCGCCCCCCCCCTGTGAACCTCTTGCGTTTTCGCCGTCAGACCTGCGTCGCATGACGGCGGGCTTCCTGGGCATGGCGGCCGCCGTCCTGCTGTGCGGCAGCATCGTGACGGCCGTGGGCTTCTTCTGGGAGGGCAGCCTCACGCGACACGTGGCCGGACTCCTCTTCTTCATGGCAGGTGCTCGCGCCCACCCCGCCGTTTGCGTTTCGGGGGGCTGGGGGGGGTCACTCGGGAGACCCTTCCGTCACTTTGAAGTCCAGATGGAAAGGTGCGTCCTTTTCCGCCGCTCGCTCCTGACGCTCGCTTCTGCTTCGTTTTTTTGCCTCCAGGCGTCTTCTGCGCCATCTCTCTGTGCACGTACGCGGCCAGCGTGACCTACGACCC